AATTGCTAATCGTTAAGCGTTAAGCGTTAAGCGTTAATCGCTAATCACTAATTGCTAAGCGGAATCACTAATTGCTAAGCATAATCACTAACCCTAAGAGTAATTGCTAAGCATAATCGCTAATCATAAATTGCTAAGTGTTAATAGTTAAAGCTAATCTTTATACATGTCTTTTTAAATTCTTCTCTAAGATAAATATAATAATAACTAATAACTAATAAAATACAAATATTGAAATTAAGCCTATAGCTTAGTAGTTAAGCTGCCAAACCCCCACAGACTAGGTCGACGGTTCAAGTTAGGCTGGAGGCAAAATCTTAGGATTTTTAGCTTCTGTAACCCAATAGGGAGCCATAATTGAATGTGGAGCCCTGTGGTTAAGTCCAAGTGCAAGTACAAAACTGAAAAAGGAAATTCCTAGAAGGAGGTCTAATTGTGGAGTAGTGGCACTACGTATGACAGGTCATGGAAGGTTCTGTTATACGAAAGGTTGTGCATGTTAGTCCTCTATTAGGGGTGACCGGGGCAGCACCAACATCCCCAGCGGTTGGAGTACTTGATTGGGAGAGTGATACGACAGTAACAAAACTAGAGTAGTGAGAAAAGTGGTGAACATAAGAATGACTTGTGGTAAAGGATTGGTCCATTCAGAGTTCGGAAGCACCTCTGGCCCCAAGCCACTTGGCCTATTAAGGAAGAAACCTGTGAGGACAAAGTGAGAAGGCTGAAACTCGAGGTACATGATAAAAACTCGAAATGGCTGGATTCACCAGGCTGGTAGTACAATTGTACAAATCAGGCTTGTATACCAGAAATTGATAAGAACACCAAATACTGAAATTAGAAGTATTACAGACCGCAAGCTGCAACTAGGTCTAGACCACTAGATCTCTGTAACCTAAAATGTCATGGCACCAGAACACTATAGCTCAAACTATGGAAGAGAAGTAATACGAAACCCACAATGTGAAAGTTATGAGGTAATCTATAACACAATACAGCGAGCCTGCACTAACACACAGGAGTACCTACCTATAAAGGTAATGGGAATTGGCAGCATACTAACTAAACTAGGCATTAATGATGAGGCTTAACCTGGGCCAGCATAAGTTCCTCTTTGTGATACTATCTGAGCAGACTAGCTGAAGATAACCAAGATTGGAAGTAGCGCGTGAGGTTAGAGGCCATATCTCAGAAGAGACTACCAAATTTGGGAGCTTAGGTATAAGTGATATGAGAGATGCGGGGAATGACATCATAGGGAAGTGTACCAAAATAGGACTAGTGAAGGGTGAAAAAATACCAGGTGAGTGCTATCCATAAGGACGTACCGCTCTGATAGGTTTGGATTGCAGATAATGAATCGGTGGCCAGATAGTGTTTTTGGATAAGAAGGTTGAGATTATTTGAGTATTGTATAACTGAATTAACATGATTTATAGTTGGCTTGTG